GCGCTCCAGGCACAGAAAGTCACAGGTCCGATCTGATTGAGGGTGCCTGCAGACACTTGGATAATCACGGCTGACACTCGACTGTGAAGCATGTAAGAGTAAAGGACTTGCCACTGCTGCAACTCTATCTACACCTTGAGTTACATCCCCATCGATGAAGCAAAATAAGGAATACCAAAGTGCAACGACGCAATGCTGTCCCTGCTACAGATGACACAATGTACTCTGAAGATCCAGACAACAGCTGAAGATCTATGGTGAGAACCCAGTGGTGGCTGGACACAAAGTTAATAAGTAAAGTCAACAGCTCGACACTCCTTAGGACAGACAGTGCTAAGGTTGGAATACAAGATGTCTCCACAGGCTCCTATGCTGAAGGTTTGACTTCCAGCTGGGGACACTATTCTGAGTAACACTGGAAAACTTTAGGAGGTAGGGCCCAGCTGGAGGAACACACTGGAGCGTGACTTTGAAGAAGACCTGCTCTCCCTGACCACTCTTGCTCTGCTTCTGCTTCATCTTCCCTCTCTGGTGACAAAGTTCCCTGCTGGTGTCACTCACCTGAGATTAAAGATTAATATTCAGCGACAACAGGAACCTCAAGAAGACGATGCTCAGTGAAAGCAGCCAGACTGCAAAGGCTCCAAGCTATGCCTGCGTGCCGAAAAAGGGGTCTGTGGTGAGAAGCAGACCGAGGGGCTTGCTGGGGCGGGGATGGGACCGGGCAGCCGCAGGGATTTTGGGGGATGACGGGAGTATTCTAGGACCAGACCGAGGTGATGGTGTGACGACTTCGCATCTGCTGAGAAAGTACCAAATCACACGTGAGAAGTGCACCCGTGTGTACACTATCCCCCAGTTACACGCAATGGGGGTAGAACCGGGCCGCTTTCAGACAGGTATTCTGAGAGTACTGGATAAAGGAGGCGGTTTGTACTTCTCAAGGGAAAGATGCCATCCACGGTGTCAAACAGCTGGGCTCCCTCGGCACTAACACCGAGCAGAACTCTCCCCTGGCCAGGGCGCCCAGCATTTCTCTCCCCCAGGGCTGCAGGGTGACACTTGTGCCATGTGCTCTGCAGAGCACTGGGAGAAAGCTGGCCGTCTACAAGTGCTGGGAAGGGCGTAAGGCCAGAGGGCACTCATCCTTTCTTTGAACATCCCTTCCCCCACTCCCCTTTCTGTTCTTACATCTCCCTGCTTCCTCTCCTATCTCCTCTCTAATCCCTTCCTGCCTTCCCCAGCTCCCACTGACTCAGGTCCTGGGTACTATCTCCCAGGTTAAGTCTTGTTCTAGGGGGCAGGTGATGGCAGTGGGCAGAATCAATCTGGACTGTCTCTAGAGTTCTCAGACCACTGAGAGAAGAGAGATGACAAGATAACCGTGCCACATAGCAGGTGTCTGACGTGAGAGTCTAGCCTACAGTGGATGACAAGATAACCTTGCCACATAGCAGGTGTCTGACGTGAGAGTCTAGCCTACAGTAGCCTTCTTAGCCGTGGTGATAAGAGGTGGAAGAGTGGCCAGGTGAGGAACAGAGACGCTGGGACAGTGAGTGACACTGTGGGGTGTGAAAGGTAGGCACTGCTATTTGGGGGACAAGTTGAGAGGGGGAGATAAGGGAAAAGGGGGGTGCCTTGTCATTCTCCCAATAATCTCCTGGCTGTTTCCCTTTCTACTAAAGTTGGTCCCCAAGAAACTTGCAGCGTAAATGAACTCAGCAGATGCTGTCAAACACAGCAAGACATGGGGACCTGGTCCCCTCCACCTTGTTGCCACACCTTCTTCTGATCAAAAGGAGACCTTGGTCTCACCTGTGGTGGGGAGGGAGGGGGCATGTGGGCATGGTGTAGCTTGAGCCTCTTGAAGCCTCAGGAAGGCACAGCTGGCTGTCCTGGGGTGAGACTTGCTCTGTTGTGTCAGGTGCTGCCGGCTGTCGAAAGGCTCCTAAACTAAGGTCCTAGTCTCCAGGAATCCCCTGCCTCCCTGAGCTGTTGGGGGACCTTGCAGTCAGGCAAGATAGAGCTCGGGGCTTTGGAAGGCTGGGAATGTTTCCTGTGGGGTGGGGGTGGGGACCTGGTTTTGAACTACCCCTCGAAAACTCCCCAGAGCCCTAGATTTAGAGATCACCAAGTATTCTGAGTACATTTCCTCCCCCTCCAGCCGCCCCTCCTCTCCGTGGCCCTTCTATTTTGGTTCTTCCTCTCCTGAGTGTACACATGAAAAGCACTATTGAAACACACACACTCACCCCCACCTCTCTCTCACACACACATACACACAAAAAAGAATTCTGAAAAATGTCAAACCACAGGTCCTTTCCCCAGCTCGTCTTTTAAGTTTCTAGGTTTATACTATTCCTGGCTGACCCCAAAGCACAAAGGGTCAAATGGGGCACCCTTGGTGAACACAGGAGAGGTTAAGATGAGTGTTTCTAGCTCCCTCTATGGTATGCTGAACTCGGGAGGTAGAAGAGTATACTCCTTACAACCAGTAAAATGTGGGCCAAAGGAGGTAAGACCAGCAGATGAGAGTGCGACCAGCTCAGTAGCTGAGAGGTTGAGAAACGGGGACTGGAAGCCCATGCCAAGCTCTAACTCCAGCTCTTGTGGGACCATCCGCAATGTGTCTGAGGGTACTTGCCCTTTTACACAGTTTCGTTCTAGGTCTCAAAGAACTGAGGGCCCAAGTTCTCTAAGAAGCCCCTGATGCAGAGAATGACCTTTCTTTCCTGTTCTGATGCTATTCTTTTTGTTGTTGTTGTTGTTTTGTTTTGTTTTTTTTAAAGACACTAACATGATAACAAAGCTCCTATAACTGGTTAAAACAGGAAAAAAAAAAAGACACTGGATCTCACTGATTTAGCCCAGGCTGGTATGGGAGTCATGGTATACTTCAGCCTGACCTTAGACTCCTACTAATCCGTCTGTGTTCACCTCCCAAGTGCTGGGATTACAGGTGAGAGTCACAATACCTGGCTTCAAATTCTTCTGAGTAAGGTCCACAAAAAATGTTCTCAAACACAATATGACTAGATAAAATGGTAGATTCTATAGTACCTATATTGCCACAGTTTTAAAAATTAAACTTACTGTGGACTTCAATGCAAAGTCTGAATAAGGTTGCACATATTCGTAGTTTCCCCTTCTTTTGGGACAGGCTCTCAGCTCAGTGTGCGTTCCAGGGTGCCTCCTGGGATTACAGGTGTGGGCTACCACATCGGCCTCTCAATGTTATTGCTGTTAATTTTTTTTTTGTTTTTTCCAGACAGGGTTTCTCTGTGGCTTTGGAGGCTGTCCTGGAACTCCCTTGGTAGTCCAGGCTGGTCTCAAACTTACAGAGATCCGCCTGCCTCTGTCTCCCGAGTACTGGGATTAAAGGCGTGCGCCACCGACGCCCGGCTTGCTGTTAATTATTTTTACTGCCAGGGATAGAGGCTCATTCAACATGAGCTCAAGGCCAGCCAACCGAGGCTGCATATTAAGTCCCAGGTCAGCCTGGGGTTCCAAGTGAGTACCTAACTAAAAAAAGAGCAAAAACATGTTACCATTATCTGTTATAATTGTGATGGTGTCAGATGCCAACCTACACAAAGGCTCCAAGCCTGAGCTGTATCTTTACTGTCATTTCTTTAGAGAGTTATTTTATTTTTAAAACGCTCTAATGTTTGTGTTTGTGCACAGGAGTGCGAGTGTTCCCTGACACCAGAAGGTGTTTGATTCCATGGAAATGGAGTCACACATGGTTCTGAGCTACCCAACATGGGTTCTATATGAGAGCAGTGTGTGCTCTTAGCTGCTGAGCCATCCTGCCAACACGAGGATTTATTTATTCTTACTCATGTGTATGTGTGAATGTGTACCTGCCACATGTGTCCAGGTGCCCGTGGAGGCCAGAGGAGGGTGCTGGATTTCTTGGAGCTGGAGTTACAGGCAGTTATGACATAAAGCTGGGAACCAGACCCAGGTCCACCGAAAGAGCAGCAAGAGCTCTTGACGGCTGAGCCACCTCTCAAGCTCAGTTATTTCTGGAAAAAGTCTAACTACACAACCACAGAGGGAAAGGGCCCTGTTGGAAAACACTGATCAGTTACAAATGCCATTCCAGGGTTTCCCCATTTGACAGCCTTACTCTTCTACAGCGAGGCTAGCACTGAGCTCACTAGCCCCAAATCTGCCCTCAGAGTGCTGGGATTGCAATGGTATCCACCAAGCCCCACTTTCTCTTATTTTTGAGTATTAAAATATTTTCTCTCTTAGTATTGCTGTTTTATTTGTTGAGATATCTCTCTACATAGTGCTGGCTGTCCTAAAACTTACTATAGGCCAAACTGGCCCCCAACTCACAGAGATCTACTTGCCTCTGCCTCCCTGGGATTAAGGTGTGCTCCACCATACCTGGCTCTCTTTAGTATTTTTAAGAGCCTCTGGAGGCTGAACCTAAACATGTCCCAGAGCACAGCAATCCAGTGTGGCTGTCTCAGGGAAAGTGAGTGTGTGTGCTCACCCAATGGCGGGACAGGAATGTGCATGGCAGCGCCATTCACTGTGGTAGCCCCAGACGAGACGCAGTTCAGATGATATCAAATGGAGTAGAAAACCAAGTGCCAGCACATCCAAGCAGAGGGACAGTGTGCTAGTGAGTAGATGAACTGCAACCGTTACCACTGCAGACATCCCATCTGTCAGGGTCTGACTGTGACACCCCACACATGGCGACTTGGCAGCTGAGAAAGGCCCTGCCTTTCTGCTTTCTGTAAGAGAATTCTCTTATCTTGTTGGCCTGAAAATAGGTCATGAACCTCCATTCCATCCTACCCCCAGAGGCCAAGACGGGTCTAGGGTCTAGACAGAATCATATTACCCACTTTTGCTCAGCTGTACATGACAACTGATGATGGTTCATCAAAACCATCAACTTATAATACCATTCCTGGGTATTAACCAAGGAATCAACAAAGTCAGTGTACAGGGGAGGTGTCTACACAGCCGTTTATCATGGCCCCATTCATAATGGCCAAGTTACAGAATCAGTGAGTGAAGAGATGAAGAAAGGTGTGGTATAGACAGCAATGGGGTTTTACTCAGCCATAAAGAAGAAGATAATGCAGAAAAATGGAGAAAACAGATCATGTTAAAAGCAATAAAACAAATTCAGAAAGACAAATGTCACATATTTTCTCATTAAACTTTAAAAAAGGCACAAAAGTAGAAAGGGGGACCAATGCGAGGTTCATATGAGTAAAGAGCATTATACATGCATATATATACACACATGTATGCATATATTAAAGAGGTCATAACAGAACCATTTTTTTGTACAATGAATATACACTTTTTTTTTCTTTGAGACAGAGTCACTAGCTCAGGCTGGTCTCAAACTCTCTATGTAGTCAAGGATAACCTTAAATTTCTTATCCTCCTGCCTCCGTCTACCCAATGATGGGACTGTAAGTGTGAAGCACCAAGCCCAGTTTCTGTGATGCTGAGAATGGAGCCCAGGGCTATGTACATACATCTGTCACAAGGTTTCCTGTCCTGCTTGAGGACGAAGGGCAAGGGAGCTGAATGACCTTCCTGCCTTCTCAAATGCTAGTGTGACACATCTTGGGACAGTGTGTTCCAGAGGCTGCCATGCCCCTTTGAGGTTGAACCTGTGACAGGAAAAGCCGTAGGAAAGAAAGCGTGTTCACTTTAAACAGGGTGCACTGCTTCCTAACCCCTGAGCGTGGGCCTGTTAACAAGACTGTCCCACAAGTGCATCTACTCTTGATTCCACCGTTTGGTGAGGACTCTCACAGGGAGTAAGAGGTTCAGGGTCAGGGACTGAGCCGAGCCCAGGGATCTCCCCAGAAGTTGCTTTTCTGGCTAAATTTTTTGGTGGGGCATTTTCCTGTGAAATTTTCCCCAACTTCTCCTATGGCATCTGTCTTTGTTTTTTGGTTAATGTGGTGGGCACACAGGTCTGGTCTGTAGCTGGAATCAATGGTGGGTTTTTCTCTTAGCTATTGCCCTGTTTGGTGACTTGAACACAAATAGGACTTTTCAAAATTACTGACTGACAGAGAAAGAGAAGTAACAGGACAAAACTGCCACTTTCTCTTGAGTGCCAGGAACAAAAACTGGCCCAGCAGACAGACCCAATTCCCTGGGGGCATGTGGCTGGGCTTTAAGAACTGCTGGGAAAGGTTTACCTGGGAATTACAATTCCATGTTAAGTCTTGAGTAAGCACGTTCTAAAACAGTTTTCCTAGTGGATAAACATACAGAGGACCAGAGTTCAATTCCTAGCACCCATATGGAGGGTTATACCTGTCTGTAACTCCAGTTCCAGGGTTTCTGACACCCTCACACAGACAGACCTGCAGGTAAAACACCAATGATCATAGAATAAAAATATTAAAAAAAATCTATCCTGGCCTCGGACTCACTCTGTAATCCAGGTTGGTTTTAAACTCTCAGCAATCCTCCTGCCCTAGCTTCTCCCAGGTATAATAGGAGTACACTACCAAGCCTGGCCTTTCTTTTTCTGCTCCTCCTCATATTACTATTACTATCTATATTGTTATTATTATTATTATTATTACATAAGCAATGCTGTCAGGAACAAGCCATCTGGCCCCTTGATTGGCAGCTATCAGACCCTTCCCAGATAAGGAGGGGAAGCCTACAACTGCCCAGATTGGGCAGGAAAGGAGGCTGAAATTGGGGGTCACTTCTGTTGTCTCCCTAATAAGATATGAGGTTCACCCCTGCTGTTCCTGAAACCCCACGAGGTGGTCAGGGAGTTACCGGCAAGCACTATGCCATTTTTGTGAGACGTCAATCAAACACCTGTGTCTACTCTGTTTGAGTCATCATGTTAGTTAGCATGTGTCGATTTTACTGGAGCAGCTGATACTCAGTGACCGACGACTCTATTCTAGTTACAGGAAGCATCGCAGTTGTGGCTGCTTCAAGATGACACGGCCGATTGTAGCCTGCTCCGCTCTGGTGGGGGCCTTCCCAAAGGCAGCTGGGGCACAGTTGGTGACTGGCATCGCTCCTGGCTGCATTTTCCAGTTGGACCTGGTCCTTGGAGGCAGCCCTCCTGGGCACTACACCCCAGTGCTACAACAGGCAGCCCTGATAACAGCCTTTGCTGGGTGGTCTGCATTGCTAATTTACAGCGTTTATCCCAGGTACAGTGGATGTTGAGCTGCTTGCCTGAGAAGCAGATGAAAGGCCATGGCTTCTGGTCCCAGTCATGCCCCTGGGACAGCGGCTGGAAGTAACTGGATTCAGAAAGCGGTCAGGAGCAGAGCGTAACACCGAGTCTGACGTGTGTAGAGGTGAGAGGCAGTGGGGAGACGACAGGTGTCAGGCTCTGAAGAGCTGAGGTGGGAGAAGCAAGAGACTGCAAGAGACAAGCAGAGGGCTGCTGGACAGTCCAGTGGACAAGGAGCCTCTGCCAAGCCCAACATTCTAACTGCAACCCCAGAGCCCTGCAAGTTATCCCTGCATACATGCACTCCCCACACCCAACACACACACACACACACACAACACACACACACACACACATGCGCGTGCACACACACACACACGCACGCACACACACACACACGCACGCACACACACACACGCACGCACGCACGCACGCACACACACGCGCGCGCATGCACAATTTAATCACATTTTAGGAAAGGGATCAGTGCATGAGCCACCACTGGAGAGATTCCAGAAAGCTGCCAAATTATCAACTCTGGCTACTGCAGAATGACCAGAGGGCAAGGGACATCCATGACATCTGCCCTTGGAAGGGGACACTGCAGTAAAGGCCTGTATGACAAGCTTCTGCCACAGAGGACCTAGAATCCAGCCCTGGCTTTGAAAGTTTAGGGTTATGAATTCCTTTGCTCTCCACCCTTAGAGCTGTCTCTGGCTTAGGCACAAGATCTCATGATTCAGGGCAGAGGGCTTCTGGCTCTGAGGGCCTAGAGTTACAGCCCCGGTTCTCAAGACAGGGCATAGGCCTTATGCTTTGAAGGCCTGGCTCACAGGCACAAGGAAGCCCGTCTGTGCCTAGTCTCCATTTCCACCCTGAGCCTCCGTGACAAAAGTAGAGGGGACTCAGTTTCCACTGTGGGTAGTAAAGGGGGGGTATATCTTGTTTCTTTAAAGCCCTCAGGCTGGTCTGGGTCTCAGCAGTGTCAGGAGCTACCTGGTTGGCTACAGGTGGTTGTGCCTCTAGACTCCAGCTTTGTCCCTGGAAACACACCAGCTCTTAGGCAGCAGTCTCTGTGCTGCTCCTCCTCTGGGGATGAGGGTGGCTTTATACCCCCAGCTGCCACCCTCATGTCACACACCACACAGTTCTCTGTGGCCTGAAGGCCTCTCAGTTTCCATTTAACCTCCGGCTCAGAACTGCAACCTGCTTCTCTTCAGGGTTAGCACCAGGTCCAGAGCAGGTGTAGAAGGCAGGTTTGGAACAGCACCCGCTCGCGACCCTTCATCTATTAATTATCTCCCAGACACCTCTTTGGTATCAGCCTTATGCCAAGCCTGGCAGGACAGCAGTGAGTGGAGCTGTCACTCCATAAGTGGCTTTCTACCTGACTGAGGATGGTCACTTGAAGTGTACACTGACACAGACACATCGTGGGGGGTGGAAAGGGAACAGCTCATCAGGTGGGAGCAGTCAAGGAAGGCTGTCTTGCTGGAAGAGAACATACGCAGAGTTAACCAGGATATGCCGGAAGGAAAATACATGCCCTCCCCTCAAAGGCAGGAAACCTAGAGCCCGCAGAGCATAGCTAGCACGGTCACACTAGCATGGTCACACTCACATTCAAGGGTGGCTCTAATCAGTCAAGTGCATTAGTCTTGCCATGCTGGACTCAGGCCCTAACCCCTAGATGCAAACTCACAGACCCTGGGGCTTTTCCCTGCTCACCTGCTCATTTCCTCCTTTCTCTGGCCATGGCTGCTTTGGCATGCTCAGGGTCTACAACACCCAGCTCCTACACTTTACATGTGTAACAAGTCCTGTAATGAACACTACCATCCACGGAGCCAGGAGAGGAGCTCTTGTACTCAATTTCCTGCTGCATCTGAGATGGTCACCAAGCCCTCAACTACAAGCCTTTCTATCCGTGGGCCCTGGAGCCCCACTCACTTGCCCCAGGAGATATCTTAACTGCCACCAGGTAGACCCTGGGATTATAAAGGGACAAAAGATGTAACGTAGACTACTATGCTCTGAGTACAAATAAGAAATGAGAAGGCCAGGGAATGGCCCTCTGAGGCTAAGATCCCCCACAGCCCACAGATACCGCCTGTCCCTCTATTATAAGGACATCATTAGCTCTGGAAAACAGAATGGTGTCAAATCTATAGGGCCACATTTGGGGACCAGGTCCTTAAGATAAGATATCAAGTATACCAGTCACCTCCACCCATAGGAAGGACTTTAGGCTGGTAATCATGAGTCAACAACAGAAGACAGAGCTAAGACAAGGATCTTCTGGGTGTTCACTAACCAAAACTTGGAGTCCAAAGCCGGAGGCCAACACTAAAAGGGCAACCTCCACCCCCCCCCACTGGCAGTGTAGACCCAGGGCATTATGGGAACTGGGAATTCTCAAATCAAAGGGCATTATGTACGGTGAGTCACCTGTCCTCTTGACCAGAGAGGTCATGGAGACCCTAGGAGGTGGACTTTAACCAGCAGACACTATACGAAGAGGAAGGTCATTGGAGAAGAAATGTTCTCATTGCTGTCATGAGAGGTCACATAGTCAACAGCGTGTCACAGGCCGGCACAAGGGGAAGGGAGAGCTGAAGGAGCCAAGGGCTCCCTGGGGACCCTCAGAACCCCACTTCCAGCTCTCCCTGCTTCATGTTTACAGTCGAAATGTGAGCACTCCACTTCCTGCCCCAGCCGCCTGCTGTCACGTCTCCATGCCATTATACACTCCTTCTCTCTGGAGTCACCTTTGGTCATGGTATTTTGTCACAGCAACAGAAAAGTAGCTAATACAGACACCTCCAAGACCAGCCCAAGCAGGCACAGTAAAAGCTCTGTGCCTTGTGTGTGACAGGGCTGTACCCTGCAGCCAATAAGTAATACAGTAACCTACACTAGAAGGATGATGGCTCTCGGCTCAACTAAGCTCCAAAGTGTGACTTTCTAACTCTGTAACTTCCTGTTCTCAAAGTCTTTATGAAACAAACCCAAAGCCATCTCTATTCCAATGCTGACTCCCTCTCTACAGACTCATGATACAGGAAAAAGGTCTCCCAGGGCCATTTTATCTGACCTGGGCCTTTGTGTGCTCTCTTCTTTTCCAAACAAAAAGTGATATTTCGGGCTAAGTTCTGTTTATTTAAGATGTACATTTTGTACCATGTTTCAATAAAAAGTCTTCCCTTTAAAATGCAAATTTAGGATTGCTTGGCTGTATAGATAATTTGGGGCAATAAAAATATAATAAAAAGACGGACATAAGACCACTTATAAGTCAGCAAGTGAAAAACCCAAAATGAAAGCTGTACGATTTTGTTTTTAATCTACATTTTAGTATATGAATGTGCATAAATGTATACATCTACATGTAAACTTTCATCTATACATGTGTCTGTAGGTTATGTACTTGTTACCTCATTGATATGGGACAAACTGAACTCATAAAGTTAACCTAAATGCTTTTTTCTTCTTTATATTTACTTATTTATTATGTGTATATATGTTGCATACACACACACACACACACACACACACACACACACACACACACACACACGGTCAGAGGACAGCTTGCAAATCTGCCGTTTCAGGTACAGGACTGAATTCAGGTTCTGAAAAATGGTAATGCCCAGGCTTATAGGGTTATAAAGCTTTAAGTTCATGCTATGATAGTTAAATTCCAGGTATGGTGTACCTGCCTATAATCCTGGCACTTGGAAGGTGGAGGAAGAGAATCAGGAGGTCAGGGCTAATGAGAGCTGTCTCAAAACAACTACAGAAGCATCTATACAAAGTTAAGTCATTTTCACTTAAGGTCTGGGTCATTCCTAAATAAGTAAAAAATAACAAAACATCATTAATCATATGTTGAAATTTTACACACACTTCAACATTTTGCTTTGTTACTTTAAACGAGTTTAAACATATTGGGTCTATTTCCACATTTGAGGGTGTTATGAAAACAGCACATACTTTATAGATTTGTAAGCTGGTCTGTACAAGGTGCTGGCACACAATGCTAAGGGTTATGACTGAAACTCCATCTGAGAAGGGAAACTGCTGTTTTTAGTAAAGTGTCTTAAGGGAGAGTACTTCCACAGCTATTCTGAGACAGGCTTCACTGTGCAGCCTGAAAGTACATCACCTTGACTGGATTCAAACTCAGGACCCTCCCACCTGATGCTCTGCGTCCTGCCTGCTGGCATTACAGACATGTGCTATCACACAAGGCCAAGAAAGGGTAATTTTTATTTGTCTGAGAGAATTTCATACGATCAAGATGACAAGGACAAGGGGCGGGAGAGGCAGCTCGGCAGTTAAGAGCACTGGCTGCTCTTCCAGACGACCTGGGTTTGATTCCCAGCACCCACACGGAGGCTCACAACCACCTGCAACTCCAGCACTGAGATCCAACACCCTTCCCTAGCCTTTGTGAGTGCTGCACAGACATACTTACAAGCCCAGTCCCCCACACGCACACGCACGCACACGCACACACACACACATACACTCATATACACACATACACAATACACATATGATGGGGTAAGTCCTTCTGTGTATATTTTGTCCTATTGGTTAATAAATAAAGCAGTGATGGCCAATAGGGAAGCAAGATAGGTGGGACTAGGAATCAAGGAAGATTCTAGGAAATGTAGTCAAGAGTGGAGAGTCACCATGTGATCCCAGGAGGAGAGAACACAAGTCTGGCGCTCTCGGTAAGATAAGACCTTAAAAAATATATATTAGTAATTATGGGTTAATAATTAAGTCAGAGTTAGCCATTAAGAAACCATAGCAAATGGCCAACAGCTTCATAATTAATATAGTGTCTCGTGTGTTATTTGAGGGGCAGCTGGCGAGAAAGAAAGCACAATACATAACGGCACCTGCAACGTGTGGCATGAATTTCCATGTAGAATGACAAAAGCTTAAAAGGGATTTTAGAAACAGAAGAAGAGAGAAGCACGACTTCTTGGTAGCAGCACTTTCTCGGGTGGGCTCTGTTTTGCTAGAGACAAGCAGAGACTTGCACAGCCAGTGCTGGTGGTAAACTTATGCCCACCATCTTGGAAAGACAGAAGCTTTGATTTTAGCAATGTTGTTTAGCAGATAATAGACACGTGGCCAAAAAAACCCATAAAGATTCACAGTAAAGTCAGAATCAGATGAAGTAAAACCTCTAAAAGGTTTATAGTGTGTTTAAAAATACACTTAGGCTTCAAAGAGAAAAAGAAACAGGATAATGACTGGGTGTGGTGGCACAAGCCTTTAATCCCAGCACTCCAGAGGCAGAGGCAGAGGCAGGCAGGTGGATTTCCAGAGAAACCCTGTCTCGGAGAAAAAAAAATGAATAAAAGTAAAAGAAATAGAGATTTATTAATAAAACAAGATTTATTAAAAATCATGTAAAGATGGAAAATACGAGAGAGTCTGGATACTTTATGCTATTGTGTTCTCTTTGAATTGTTTAAGTGCTGTGAAAGGAGCAACAACTGCTAAAAGACATTTGATTATCAATGCTGGTGATTTAATCCAACTTATATATTTTGAAAATGCTTTGACTTCTAAATTTAAGTATAAGACAGGTTACTTGGGAAAAGAATTTCTGCTTGTTTCCACAGAAAATGTAAAGCTATGGATTCCTTCCACACTTCTATGGTTTGATGAAGCAAGACCCCCTGAAATAGTATCCCGGGTGATTCAACATCTAAGACAGCTGAGGTGATGCAGCCGTGCAGCCTATAAAAAGAAGGACCTGGCCAGGTTTCTGTGTTTTGTCATGATCTCCATGGTATGGACAGTGCCCCCAACCAGCAGGAAGCAGTTTGGAATGAACAATGCCCAAATTCCCAAATATTGTTTATAAATGTTTGTTTTCATTTAAATGGGGTTGCTTATAAATGGTAAAGATCACAGTCAATTTCTTTTTAAAGGGAAAAAAGGGAATATGATACAGAAATGAATACTTTGTATTGGTATGGATTTTCGGTTTTTGATACAAATTTAAGGTCAGTTTTGTGATGTGTATATTTCTCCTCTTGTTAGATATTGTGTTTATACAGCTCTTTCAAAAATGTAATGTATAAGTACAGATTACAGATAGTTTCCTATAATAGTCAAGACTTATAGTTAGGTTAGTTAGGTTTTCTAGATATACAGAGATGTATTTGCCACAGATATTCTTCAAACCTTTCAAAGACCTACAGAATATACAGCATTTAAATGGTTTAGGTGTTTTTCATGATAGTGAAACACAACTACTTCTGGCAAACTAATTACATCTGAGAGGAAGATGAGTATCAGAGAAACTCGTTATGGAGTTTGCTTTCAACATGGCAAGATGAGCCATGTAGGCAAGAAACTGCTCTTGCCTGGACTGTTTGACTGTTGCTATATAAACTGGACATGCAGGACCCACAGGAAAGTGACTGCTGCTAAACTTACAAAACAAGATGAACAGTCCTACAGGGTTCCTGTTTCATGGAAGAGTCTGCCAGACATTCTGCAGGACACAGAAAAATGACTGACAATGCAGGCGGACAGTTTAAAATTTCCTGCTTTAAGTCTGCCAGACACACTGTGGCCTATGGACTGAAGATGGATGCCCCAATGTTACAGAGGAACTTTGGGTGACTGTCCAAGTAGTGAGATGTGTTTGTCAATTCTAGTGTTTATATATGATCTTTCTGTGGTCTTTGATGGAGTTGAAGACAGATATAGATTTCCTTAGTTATGATAAAAGTTACATATAAGACTTTAGACTCACAAAGATAGGATAGATGACACTTTCTTTAACTCTTGCTAAATGTTAATGGACTAAATATTGTATTTATAGTTCTTGCTTAATAACTGCCTTGTTCTATATTTTACTCTGTTAAAATTAAAACCTTTCTTTTTATTTAGACAGAAAAGAGGAAATGATGGGGGACGTCCTTCTGTGTATATGTTTGTCTGACTGGTTGATAATTAAAGCACTGTTGGCCAATAGGGAAGCAAGATAGGTGGGACTAGGAGTCAAGGAGGATTCTGAGAAATGTAGCCAAGAGTAGAGAGTTGCCATGTGAACCCAGGAGGCACTCTCAGTAAGATAAAAATATATATTAGTAATTATGGGTTAATAATTAAGTCAGAGCTAGTCATTAAGAGACCATAGCAAACAGCCAACAGCTTCATAATTAATATAGGGCTGAGACAGCGGCAGGACCCAGGCAGCTGGTGGGAAAGAATGCACGGTACATACATACATACATACAAATATGCACACAAATATGGATACACACACTCATATACACACATACACACATATAGACACACACATACATACAATATACACATACACATACACGCATATATACATACACATACACTCATATACACACATACACATACACACACAAACATATACATACGCATTCACACATATATACACACATACACATATACACACACATCATACATACACATACACCCCAGATTAAAAGTAGACAACAAGACCAAAAACACCAGCAGGAGTAAAATTGTGCAACTGTTGCCTATTAAGGAATATATCTTACAATAAGACCTCCTGTTAGTGTTCTGAGATTAGGCTATGAAGCATAAGAAAAACAAAATTCAATTTAAAAAATGGACTCCTGCCGGGTGTTGGTGGCGCACGCCTTTAATCCCAGCACTCGGGAGGCAGAGGCAGGCGGATCACTGTGAGTTCGAGACCAGCCTGGTCTACCGAGTGAGTTCCAGGACAGCCTCCAAAGCCACAGGGAAACCCTGTCTCAAAAAACCAAAAAAAAAAAAAAAAAAATGGACTCCTGTGGGGACAACAGACCTTGGCCAGAGACGCACTTCCCCATCAGCCTGGGACCAGGCAGCTGTAAGACAATGTTTACTAAAAACATGTTTACTAAAAACAATACAATGCCCGGGGCAGTAAGTTTCTGAAAAGGACTGGCCCACAGGAACCTCCCTGTCCTTGACCTTTTCCAAAGACTAACCGCCTCTTCTGACACACGCAACCACCTCTGGTGTCAGGGTATATAATAACCAGCCAGAGTAGGAATAAAAGAGAGCCTTCTTCAGGAGCCTTCCGGTCTCTGTGTTGTCAATCCCCAACACCCTCCGCACATTCTTGGACAAAGCCTGCTCAGCGGGTGCGGCAGACTCCAAGTAAATACAGCCCAACAGTTCCTCCTTCTAATTCAAACCTCTCATTCACTTACATGGATTGGATAAGCAACAGAAACAAATCTCATCCTGGTAACAAGATGCCAAGACTAAAACACAGGACGGTTGACTGATGAGAGAGAGCCTTCCATGCTGTGAGTATATGCTTCTCTTACTGGTTGATGAATAACGTTGTTTCGGCCAATGGGCAAGCAGGATGTAGCCAGGCAGGAAGTATAGGCAGGGCTATCAGTAGGAGAAGTCTGGGAAGAGAAATGCAGAGAACGCCAAATAGCTGCTGTAGGAGTAACAGGGGGGGGGGGCGCCAGGTAGCTGCTGAGGGAGCAAGAGGTCTGGGCGTCACCAGTAAGCCAAGACCACGTGGAGATACATAGATTAGTAGAAGTGGGTTAATAATTAAGAGAGCTAGCCAATAAGGAGTGTGAGCCATTGGCCAAACCGTTTATAATTAATATAAGACTCTATGTGTTTATTTGGGACAAAACGGCTCCTGGCACCAGGAGGGGCAGAAACTGTGGACAGTTGGCTGATGAGCAATGTCTTCAGAGAAAATCATTCCAAGACAAGAGATGAAGTTCAAAAACAAGACAATGTCACACAGGAAAAAGGGGGGGGAAGGAGGGAGGAGAGGAGGGAGGGAAACAATGGAGTCACTTGTGCCAGCTCTTCCAAAATTAATGAACGCTGAGAGGTTACAAACCACAGGTTCATTTCTTTTAAATATTTATTTTATTTTACACGTACAGTTTTTAAACTTTATTTTTATTTCAAGAGTATGGTTTACCTGCATGTATGTCTGATCACCATGTGTGTGCAGTGCCCATGGATACCAGAAGGGGGGCGTGTTGGAGATCCCCTGAGACTGTAGTTACAGTTGGCTGTGAGTCACCATGTAAGGTGTTCGGAATTTAAACTGGTCCTCTGGAAGAGCAGCCAGCGCTCTTGATCACTGAGCCATCTCTCCAGGCCCTTATGAGGATGTAAGTGTACCGTGTGTAGAATGCCCCCAGAGGTGAGGAGAAGGTGTTGAGCCCCAGAGAACTGGAGTTATAAACTGTTCAGAGTCACCAGACAGGCACTGGTTCTCAGCAGAAGCAAAAAAAAAAAAAAAAAAAAAAAAAAAAGGAACAAGTTTCTTAGCTGCTGAGCTACCTAAAGGACCAGACCTTCACCCAGTTCCCTGCTTTGGCAGCCATGAGGGACTGTAGAAAAGACTGAGTAAGATGTGCCAGACCTCCTAGTCACTAGGAAGTCAGATACCCTCTCCATGTGGCAAAGAATCAATCGGAATTTAGCTGAATGTACTTTATGGTAACAGTGGGGTGCAGAGCATAGCTACTGCCCTGGGAGGGCCTATGGCCATAGCAACCAGTTGACCAATCAGCACAGGACAGGTTGTCCAAGCTCAGAAGTGCACCAATCCTGAGACTGTTGCAGACCCCCCCCCCCCCGCCCCAGACACACCCCTTTCTCTGCCCCAATAAAATCCCTGTCCTTCGGTCTCTCCACCCACTGTGTCTGACCGACTAGGAACCAACTCATTAAAATTAAAGACTCTTTGCCTTTACATCAGCACGGGTCTCCTGGCGATTTGGGGGTTCAGAATTTGGGCACAACACTACGTCTCCAGCCAGCGAGGTGACCTGACTGACAATTTTCATTTCTTAAGAAAATGCAGTATCTCACTATATATCCCAGACTGGCCTCAAACTTGCAATCCGCCTGCCTCCCTGTGCTAGGATTAAAAGCGCCTGTGTCCTCAAGCCTGGTTTCACATCTGCCACAATATAACATCTAAAACGAACTCACACAAGTGGAGATTTTTACCTGTGGGGGGTCCCGAATTACGGAAAGCAGTCCCGCTACCAAACCCCAGCAGTTAAGGAAAGGGGCCTTGAGAAAAGCCGAGCTTCACATATACCTACGCAGCTCTCCGATTGCCTGCCAACCACTTTTCCAAGATGACCGCTTACAACACAGCCCACGGGCTGGAGTGATGGCTCGGCAGTTTAAGGGCACTTCCTGGTCTCTCCCGGAGGACACCCTGTTCGGTTCCCAGCACACCTGCTTGGGCGTCCAACAACCACCATTCACAAGGGCTCCAGAGATGTGAAGCCCGCTCGTGGCCTCCACGAGCCAACTGCACTCAACCTGCACAGAAACACACACACACACACACACACACACACACACTGGCACGTAAAACGAAAGGAAGGAAGGAAGGGAGGGAAAAAACACAGCCCAGAGTTCAAAGAAAGAAAGAAAGGTAAAAACACAGCCCGGAGTTGAAAGAAAGAAAAAAAGGAAGGAAGGAAGGAAAGAAGAAAGAAAGGAAGGTAGGAAGGAAGGAAGGTAAAAACACAGTCCAGAGTTTCTGGTTGTTTCCCTCGAGGAGGCAGTAGCACAGGCGGATGCCGGAGTTCCGGGCCAGCCAGGCTACACAGTGACACCTGTCTAAGAGGAAAGAACGAGCAGCATAACTCAAACCCCCCACGACCCTCAAAAGCCCCTCCCCGGACACCAGAGACTCAATCCCTCCCGATTCTTAGCCCAAGTGGGAGCCGCGCCCCAGGGCCGTGTCCGCCCGCCACCAGCCCCGCAGAGCTCTTCGGGTCCCCGGCCGGCCTACCTACCCTTTCGGCAGGCAGGTCAGTCAGCCAGGCTTCCGGAGAGGAGCGGCCGGGCCCTGTGGGTCTGCTCCAGGCGGTTCAGGATGAACTGGCTGGTGTCGATGAAGCGCTCCACGCAGTTCACCAGGCAGACCTCGGCGCGGCGGTCCAGCCTGGGCCCGGGCTTGTCCACGCACTTCTCCCAGCACAGCTCGGTCAGGTGGTGGACGAGCTGCTGTGCCCGCTGCCTCTGCGTCTCCACCTCCACGAAGCGCCGCAGCTGCGGGTCTGCGGCGCCCGGGCTGCTCTGCGGCGGCGACGACGACGATGGCGATGGCGGTGGCGTCGACCAGGAGGCCTCCATGCCCGCCAGCCCCACGGACCGGAAGTGCCCCTGCCCACCCGCTCCCCGCGTGTCCTGACGACGGAATGGACCAGGAGGCCTCCGTGCCTGCCGGCCCCACGGACCGGAAGTGCCCCTGCCAACCCCCTCACCACGTGCCCTGGCGGTGGCGAGGCTTTCATGCGCGCTATACCCACGGACAGGAAGTGCCCCTGCCAACCCCCTCGCCACGTGCCCTGGCGGCGGCGAGGCTTTCATGCCCGCTATACCCACGGACAGGAAGTGCCCCTGCTAACACCCTCCCCATGTGTTCTGGCAGCGGCGAGGCTTTCATGCCCGCCAGCCCCACGGACAGGAAGTGCCCCTGCCAACGCCCTCCCCGCGTGTCCTGGTGGCGGAATCAACCAGGAGGCCTCCACGCCCGCCAGCCCTACAGACCGGAAGTGCTCCTGCCAACCCGCTCCCCACACGTGTCCTGACGACCAGGAGGCTTCCATGCTCACCAGCCCCACGGGCCGGAAGTGCCCCAGACACCGACCCCCTCCACCCCACATGTCCCTGCTAGGGCTAGGAACCGGAAGTGTCATCGGCTGCCCCGGGCTCACCTAGCACATTGATGGCTTTGCAGCTGCTCTGTCTAGCTCGGCCACTGCTAGTCGCATCTGTAATGTGCAAACTGACGGTTTCCTGACATTCCCATCCAAGGCAGTCTGGGTGAGGGTGAAGGACACGGTGCCCGAATGGGTTTATCCTAAACCCGCTGTCCTAAATTCCCGAAGATAAGAGCTGACCGTGAGTGTTGAAGACACCTTAGGCATTCTCTCCTCATCCACAGAAACCCTACAGAGGGGGCACTAATTCCAGTTGGACGTAAATTTACCATGTCCTAATGGATGGGCCACGTTTTCCTCCATTTTCAACTGAAGGCCAGAGGGTCCGGCGTCCTCCATCCTCTCCTCCTCCCCTCAGTCTCCTAGGCTCGAGTGGGTAAAAGGGGCACTCTCAGGCCAGGCTTTAGATTGTTCCTTGTCCTCTCTCTCTCTCTCTCTCTCTCTCTCTCTCTCTCTCTCTCTCTCTCTCTCTCTCTCTCTCTCTCTCTCTCTCTCTCTCTCTCTCTCTCTCTCTCTGTCTCTCTCTGTGTCGCTAGAAGGCTGGAGAGATGGTTTCGACTTTAAGAGCACTTGATATTATTGCGGAGGGCCTGAAGTAGTTCCCAGACCCACGTGGCAGCTCACGACCGTCTACAACTCCAGTTCCAGGGGATTAGGCACCGTCTTCTGAGCTCCGTGGGCACCATGCATGCAGATGGTGTGCAAACATACATGGTGGTTTTGGAAGTACTTGGTTTTGGAAAAACGTTAAAAAACAAATTTTAAAGAAAATGTCACACAAATGAGATCATGAAGTACTTCAATCTGGAGGAAACGCAAGACAGGAGACCCCAGTTGGTCAGGTTTTTTTGGAGACATTGATGCCATAAATGTAAGAAATACACTCACCCAAACCCACTTCTAATGTTGGCTGGGGTGTGTAAGTGATGACCAATGAAACTCTTACGTTGTTTCTCTACCAGCATAATTTCTCTGTTTTCCTTTTTGTCCCCTTCAAATGTAATACTTTATTTTATTTTAGAGATCCTATGGATCACAGAATAGCCCCGAACTTGATAGGCAGCCTAGGCTGGTACCAAATTCTTTATCCTCCACTTCTGTTCCATAGAGTTTTGGGGGTTACAGGTGAACATGGTCGCACGTGTCGGACGTCAAGAAACCCTACCTTTTGTTATTTTTTCCCTACAGCACCCTGTCGCTGAGCCACGCGCCCAGCTCTTTCCCCAGATTAAGACTGTAAAACTGTAAAGCGGAAACCCTTTGGGTGCCATTTTCGGAACACTTACTCCGGGCGATTGGAGTTCATGCTTGCTCCGTGGGTGGCTCCCCGCGTTTTGGCTGGGGTAGACGTTTTGTTCTCTCACGTGGTGCGCCTTGCTGGGCCTTTTCAGGGTTGCTGCTTATGAATATGCATGGCACACAGTGTCTAGGCAGCCACACTCACATACATGAACTCATAGTGCACACCTGGCCCACAGTGTCTACTCAGCAAATGCTTCCTGAAAGGATATCGAATGTACACCGTGGCGAGGGCGCATTCCGTAATATCTTGTCTTCCTTGGGCTTCTTTGGATGGCACCATTTATCAAGGAGACTCTAAGTGTCTTGAGGACGTGAAGGACATTACTCAGTGAGGCCTGTGATCTGTGTGGTCAGTCATTTATCTCTGAGTATTGTTCCAGCTCCTCCTTATGTGGGGCAGTAGGGAAGGGAATTTGTGGTAAAAAAAAAAAATAGGGATTTACTTTTTAATCTACGTTATCTCCGACATACCTGGGATTTGGGAGGCCCCAATTTACATATGGGAAGAATTAGGTATAATGGTCTCTGTCAGTAGGAGGCAAGTTTGGGCTGTGATGACATACATTCTGACCTATGGGAAACCAGAGCATGTGGGAAGCTATGCCGAGTCACAGGTAACCGTGGGTGTGCCGTTCCAACCAGGCAACAGAGCTGGCTGCCGAGAGAGTTGGGGGGTTCATTTAGGTTGGTTTCAGAGCAAGCCTCTAAAGAAACAAAACAGCCACATTTCAGTGACAACAGTTATCATAACCGTGGCAGAGTCTTCATCCATGGATGTGTGGCGTCCTCATTACTAGCCAGTGGCAAATTAGGGAAAAACCATTTTCTGTGGACCGGAAAGGAGAAAACAGTGGTGGCCAGAGGGCAGCCCAGCCTCTTGCCTTCCCCTGCTGGTGAAGAGGCAATTCAATTTGCAAGAACACACCAGTCAGCTACCGGGACCGCAGCTCCCAGCTCTCGGAGTAATGCCTATCAGGTTGCAAATGTGCCTCTCCAGCCCCATCGAGGCACTCACCCAAACCACACAACCCTGGGAGTGTGGAGCCAGGGCCACCTCCCTCTGCCTTTCTCCTGAAGGCTGAGCCCATGTGAGCCCCCCGAGAACCCTTCATGCTTTCCCTGGATCATCGCTCCCAGTCAGAGCAGAATGGTGACTGCTCTTGAATTTCCTGATGCCGATGGATCGGCTGTTACATATGTGGTCTGAATCTTAGCCTGTGGGGGGCACAGAAATGAAGCTGAAATGTAACAAGGCTCCTGGGGCGACTTTCCTCTCTCACCCTCCTTGTCAAAGCCAAGCAGCATCCTGTGGCAGGGACATTACCTTGGCTGATGACCCGGTGTTCTGTTTTGTTTTGTTTTAGCAGGAGCGTAAAGGGGGGTAGCTATAGTCTAGTACCACGACTGGATTTGTTTTCTACAGAAGGGTGAATGTAAACGTTAACTCTCCCGTGTCTCCCAGATAGGAGAGTGGCAGGCTGTCTACAGGTCTTTGCTGACACCTTTGTGTTGACTGTTGACGCCCTCGCGAGTTACCCTCTTGGGCACCTGAAAGGCCTTTGATCTGACTGCAGATGCCCTCTTCCATCACCCCTGCTCTTGGTTCCAGCCCTCTCTGCTGCTCTCGAATTGCGGCCCTAACCAACTGTACCCTGTCATTCCCTCTGGAAGGACAGACCAGAGTCACCTCACGCCACTGAGGAAAGCCGGCTGTCATAGCTCCCTGGGTTGTACTCGGAGGAGACTTCCGGAAGGCCTTTCGATCGCTCTTCCCACCCGAGGCTGTGCTATTGATAGCCTGCTGCCCCTTCTACTCACACCTGTCTGAGTCCCAAAAGACAGGTGCATCTCGTGGGAAGGAATTGATGAGAGAGTAAACTAGGTAGCCAGGCCTCAACGAGCAGGACTTCCTAACAGCAGAAGGGCATACAGGGAGGGCGGGATACTCTGTCCTACCGAGGAATGTCTGCGAGATAAGGTGCGTGCAAAGAAGGACTGAGGAGCGTGCCTGTGGCAGGCGCGGGACAAGAGCTTACAGCACGCCAATCTGATGGCAGGCCCTGGAACTGGTCATTCAGTTTTCTTCCTTTCTGAGGTTTGTGCCAACATCAAAAAACAAAGGAGCAGGAGACCCCAGCTGAGAGTTAGGTGGCCGGGGCCTGCAGCATAAGGCCCCCCGCGAGCTTGGTGGTTTCGTGGCTCCTGCTGTGACTGTTCAACCCATGCCAACCTCCCTCGACCCACAGCTGTTGTGACAGCTCCACCCATCCTTCCCTGGGTGTGACTCTTCTGCGGCTTCCAGCAGGGCAGAACATCCTGAGTAACCGTCTCATGCCAAGTACTAAGGGAAAGAAAGGGGGCCTTGAGTAGCAGATCAGTATTTATCCCGGGCATACAAATGGACTTCGGGTGTCCATCCCACAATGAGGAGGCCTAGGTAATCTATTGAGCCTTGGGTAGTAGATCAATATTTATCCTGTGTATACAAATGGACTTTGGGCTCCCATTCAACAATGAGAGATGCACTCTCACCCTGGACTCTTGGGGGAGGGTCTAGGTCCTGCCCTGGATGAAATGACAGTCTATGGACACCACCATGGAGGACCTCACCCTCTCTGGGGAAAAGAGGGGGTACTGGGGGGGTTTGGTGGGAGGGCGTGGGAGGAGGGGAGGAAAAGGGAGAGGGACCTGGGATTGACATGTGAAGCAACCTTGTTTCTAATTTAAATTTAAATTTAAAAAGAAAAAGAAAAAAAAGAAAGAAAAGAAAAAGCCTAGGTCTGTCTCTGGGCTCAGTCTGTTGGAGAAACAGAAAACATGAGTCCAGTGAATTTCTGTCCAGGACCAGACAAGCAGAGAGGGACAGGGGTTCTGAGTTGTGCAGAGATGGGAGGTTTCAGAGGAGGGGCCATGTGGCAAGACCTCCCGGGAAGAAAAGCCTGAGGTCAGCGGGAAGGGGCACAGGACATCAGGCTGAGGAAGTAGACAGTGGAGTGAGTGAACTCAGGGCCTCATGGTGCTGGGGCTAGGAGGTGACACGTCCTAAGGAGGAACCGCAGGAAAAACCAAAGGAGGCACTTCTAGAAGAGTCCAAGCACTGTAGCAGCAGTGAGTCTCAACCCAGGTGTGTCCAAAACAAATCAAGAAATGGA